GGAGTGAGCTCCCGTCTCTAGTTCCAGCTCTTGCCAACCTAGCAGTTCGAAAGCAAGAAATTGCAAGTAGATAAATAGGTGGTGCCACTTCGGTGGGAAGGTAAACAGCGTTCCGTGCGCCTTGGTGTTTAGTCATGCTGGCCACATGACCACGGAAAAGTCTTCGGACAGCGCTGGCTCTTCGGCTTTGAAAAGGAGATGAGCACCGCAACCCTAGAGTCGGATTCGACTGGCTTTCGAGCAAGGGAACCTTTACCTTTTTACATTTTGATCACATTGTAAAACTATTCTAACGTTTTAATGTTTGGCTGTAAACTGCCTTGGGAACCCTATTTGGGTAGAAAGGCAGCAGAGAATTCTTTTAAATAAACAAACATGAATAATGTGATTTGATATCAGCATTACCCTCTACGCACTCCTTTGCACATATGTAACTCCCAAAGGACTGTTTTCTAAGTGTTTTCTGGGTGTTTCCCCATTACGGCATCTACAGGGTGTCCTGAGAAAGTGGGGATTAGCATATAATTAGCATATTAGGCCACACCCCATGCATTCCCTTGGCTTGCCTGGGTGTGCTCCCTTTTCTAATAATTGCTTTCTGAATGCAGCCCCAAATGTTACATGAGTTTTCATGAGTTAAAAAACCCCGTCCAGGTACTAGACCATGTCCTCCGTTCTAGCATTCCAGGCAGGCTTCATTTCATGGGAAATTTTCTAGCACGCCTTTCTACCACACAGTTTCCAAAATAGTGCAGACGTTTTGGGCAGATGTTTGTTGCTCCCAGGATACATACCAGCAGAGGGCGCTAGTGCCCCAGTAAGGAAACGGGATGCTGACTTCTTCACTCCAACATCCACATAAATTGCAGAAGAACAAAGTTAAGAGTCGAGCGGCACCTTTAAGGCCAACAAAGTTTTACTCAAGGTGTGAGCTTTCATGGGCACGCAGTCAGACAATGAAATGGAATTATGGAACACAGTGGCTTGTTAAATTAGCATGCACAATGGTAAAGATGTTTATTAACAGATCAAAAGAATAGTGACAAGCTCGGTGTCTGGTTACCATCTGATTGGGTTCAACTGGGGGTGGGGAACAACATAGGTAATAAATATGTCAGAACTGGAGACTGATGTGCCCTAAATTGTGAAATTCAGGCTGCCCACCTTGATCTACATAAATTGCAGTGCTCGATTTGCTCTAGCCCTGTCTGTGCAGATAGCTGAGTGTGGTTTTTACGTGAATGTGAGCACCGCATCCCTACAGTCGGATTCAACTGGTTTTCAAGCAAGGGAAACCTTTACCTTTATTCCCCCCAAGGGCACTACAGTCAGGGACGTAACATCTACTGGTGACCCCAGGCCCCATTTGCTTTCCGATTGCGCTTCAAAGTGCTAGTACTTACCTTTAAAGCCCTATATGGCCAGGGCCCGACATATCTGAGGGACTGCCTTTCCCCATTGATACCCCAGAGAGCACTATGGTCGGGGGCCCAACATCGACTGGTGATTCCAGGCCCCAGGGAGGCCAGGCTTGTGGCAACCAGGGCCAGGGCCTTTTCAGTGGTGGCTCCTACTTGGTGGAACAAGCTCCCAGAGGAGATCAGGGCCCTGTGGGACCTTTCACAGTTCCCCAGGGCCTGCAAGACAGAGCTCTTCCACCAGGTTTTTGATTAGGAGCTGCCGCCACCACCACCACTACCACCAACAACAACAACGAGTTTGGTAACAGCGGGGTATTGGAATGGCCCGGCGACAAACAAACTGCAGCACTATGGTGCACGGAGACCACTAAACTGAGATCTGTTTAAATATCCTCCTGATACCATCTACTAAATGGAAGACTGTTATCTCGGACCATCTTGGAGCACTTTATTTTGGATATTTGGTAACTATTTGTTTTATCTTGTTTTTATGTATTGGCATGCATGCCCTGATGTTAGCCGCCCTGAGCCCGTTCGCGGAGAGGGCGGCCTAAAAATCGAAAAAATAAATAATAAATAAATAAATATTAAA